TCTTGTAATTACTTGAAGATGATGAGGGTGAGAGAGTAAATATGTTATTTTCGAAACCAAAAAAAAAAAAAAATTTGATGGCATTTTCGTGAATTATATGAACTTGTGGGGTGAATTGGGCAAAATAAAGTTCCAAAAAAAAGGGAGGTTAGTTTTGTGGTTGACTTCAAGTTTCAGGTCAATTCTGCAAAAAGCCCTACTTTCAATGTAAATTCATGGCATCATTGTAGAATGAGTCACATAGTAAGGGTACAAAAGTGAATAACAAATAATCAACCTATATAATATACGACGCACTATCCCTCTATTTTTCCGGAGAGTATCAAACCAGAGAGAGAGCGAGTAAAAGCTTAATTACAAAGAGAACCCCCAAAGAAGCTAAATATTTATCCTTTCGGCGCTTAAGTTTGTATTTCAACATTTAACACCCTCAAAGAGTTTACCACCGCCATGTGTGGAGGAGCTATAATCTCCGATTTCATCCCTCCGCCGAAGTCCCGCCGCGTCACCAGCGAGTTCATCTGGCAGGATCTGAAAAAATCGAAGAAGAGATCGAAGAAGCGATCTGATTTCTTCGATCTGGACGATAAATTCGAAGCTGATTTCAAAGGGTTTAAGGATGGAGATTCATCTTTTGACTGCAAAGATGAATTCGATACGTTCACCGATGTGAAGCCCTTTGTCTTCACCGCAACTACCAAACCCGTCGCCTCCACTGGTAAACTGTTCATAAAGTTCCGATTTTTATTTTCATTCAATAGTAAAAGTGGGAACTTTTTTTTTATTAATTCTCTTATATTCGATATGGGTTTTTGGATCTTAAATTCTTAATCATGATGTTAACGTTCCAGTCATAAAGTCAAGATCTTTATAACTTTTCAAGAGATGAATCTTTTCTAGCTTTGTTCTTTTATTACATGATTATAATAAGCCTGTCTTTTATATCTAGAAGTATTGACATGTTGTCATGTAGTAAAGGGATATTTGACTTTTTCTACTTTTATATGATCATTTATTTAAAAGTTCTTGAAATGATTTAGATCTTTATTACTGAGGGTTTTATTTAGTGTTTAGCGTCAATTATTGTTTCGAGCGTATGTAAATGGTTGATATTATTGGTTTTGTTACTATGTTGATCATATTAAAAGTTCTTGAAATGATTTTGAGCATCTGGATCTTGGTTTTCAGAGGCTTTTACTTAGTGTCTAGCGTCAATTATTGTTTCAAGTCTATGTTAATTGGTGATGTTATTGGTTTTGTTACTATGTGAAAAGATGCAGTTTTGTTTATGTGTAGTTTCAACTTTGGTTTATGAGTTTATAATATGATTGATTGATATTGTGTGTTTTGACTCCATTAGGTTCAGTTTCTGAGAAGAAAACCATAGAGTCGTCCGATGAGAAATCTGGCAAGAGGAAGAGAAAGAATCAGTACAGGGGGATAAGGCTGCGCCCTTGGGGTAAATGGGCTGCTGAGATCCGTGATCCTAGAAAAGGCTCTCGAGAATGGCTTGGAACATTCGACACCGCTGAGGAAGCAGCAAGAGCTTATGATGCAGCTGCACGCAGGATCCGTGGTGATAAAGCTAAGGTGAACTTCCCTGAGGAGATGATCCCTACAGCTAAGACCAGTGATCTTAAGAAGCCAGTGGCTAAACCAAACCAAAGCCCAACTCTGGTTCAGCAGCCAAGTCAGTTCTGCAACAACATGGGATATGACTCCTTTGGTGATATGAGCTCCATGGAGGAGAAGCCTCAGATGTACAACAATCAGTTCTTCCATGTTGGACAGTATTTCAGTTCTGATCAGGGCAGTGACTCATTTGACTGCTTTGAGTTTGGGTGGGATAATTACAACCCCAAGACACCAGAGATCTCTTCAATGGTAGTTAATAACAACCAAGTTCCATTTGCTGAAGAAACCAACGTAGCCAAGAAGGCGAAACTCAACTCTGAGGATGGGACAAGCAACGATGATGATCTGATGGCATACCTTGACAACGCCGTGTGGGAGTCTCCTTTAGAAGTGGAAGATATGCTTAGCGTGGATGCTGCTGCTGCTGTGACTCAGGAAGAGGAAAACCCTATGGAGCTATGGAGCTTAGATGATATCAACTCCATGCTGGATGGAGTCTTCTGAAGTGATTGATGGGTGGGGTCTAGTTTGTAAATAAAGCTGTGTGTTGTTGAGTTTCAAGCGGTAACTTTGGTTTTACTTTAATCTTCAGTTTGGGTTTTGTGTGTTGATGTCTCACAGGGTTCTAACACAATCATCAGTACCCTCGTAACTGTTTTTGTTTTGTATCCCTAAGACTTGTTTAACATTATAATAAAAACTGTGTTGGAACCTCTTGTTTGTTCTATGAACCTTGTCTGCTTAACAGACCTTCTGCTTGGTAGATAGTTTTGGTAAACTTTCTCGTGAACCTTTTGATGCAAATACGGATGTAATAATACATACCAAACTGCTGACAAGTGACAAGAAAAGAGTACAAAAATGCACCCAAATGATTCTGTAGGGGCACTAAGGATGTTGTTATATGAAGAAAGGTTCAAACTATGATCAACGAGGCTGCGCCTGATTCTCATACATTTTACTTCTTATTACATTTTAGTATTTACGATCACTTTAATGAACCTACTCTAGTGACTAATATGCCTACTAATATCGTCTGCATTGGATTGGGTAAATGTGAAGCGTTTAGAGTGCTAACTATCCGGATTCAAATACTCTCTCTTCACGACTTTCACACTTCTTTGATCCAAAGAAGCAATACATGTGGATTCAGATATGGACCCTCTCAAGGTTATGATCTATGTGAAAATTCTGGAGATTACATGGACAAATCGCTGAGCTGATTTGGAGCGGATCGGCTAATGTCACTGCATCTTTCTTGCACGTGAAAAGTAATTGAGGTTGACACACGTACAAGTCACAATAACCGTTACTTATTCCGCAAGAAACAAATCAAGATTGGTTTTGTGTCTTGCACCGAAAGATTTCACCTACGAGATCTTTATGTCTGGAGTCTGGAGAAGCGACAAAGCGTTACTTAGAGTTACCTAGGAGCTCAAGGCCAGCATTGTGTTTTGACGCCCGTCTAAGAACAGGCGTAACAGTACCGCAGCGAGAGGTCGTTGTATCAAACTCTGGTTGATTTTTGGCTTAGTAATAATGAAGGGTATTACATTGCAAATGTAAAAAAACAATGAGGCCAATTGCGAAGATCGCGACAAAATAGAGGATGATGAAAATGCCGGGTGTTTCGGATATTGGTTCGGTTCAGGTATTTCGGGTTTTGGATAGTTCGGGTAAAGGGATAGAGGATCCATTTACTACTTGACCTATTTTCGGTTCGGTTCTATTCAGATAGTTTCGGGTTCGGCTCGTTTGGTTAGTAAAACTAGGAACCAGAAAATACCTGGAAAATTCGGTTCTCATTTGGTTTCGGTTCGAGTTCAGGTAGTTCAGATAAATTATCGGTTATTTAAGATAAAATATCTTATAATTAGAATGATTTAGATATAAATTTTGGATATTTCGGATTACTGTGGATATTTCGGATAAAATTATCTGTATATTTTTGGATAGTTCGAATACTTTATAATTATTTAGTTATCTTCAATTATTTTTAGATATTTTAAATAAATTTTTAAAATTAAAATCATATATTTAGTTACGTTATATGTATATTAATATTATTATATATTTGGGTACTTGTTCGATTCTCGTTCAATTCGATTATTTTGAATCACAATATACTACTTTCCTTAAACGACAGATTAGTAATCAGTGGGGTTTAACGCGTTTTAAAGCTAGAAAGCACATCCTTACAAAAATATTGACGGTGACGCAGCACCTCCGAGGTGACCACACGGTCCACACTCATGAGAACCTTCCGGAGAGAGCCACTCAAGAAAATATCAACACAATCTTAAATATCAGCCGCACTCTCACCACGGAATGATCCTATTAATATTATTCTCCCAACCAATAAAAATGAAAAACTAATTCTAGCAAAATAATTCAGCATTTAAAAAAAATAAAATAATTTAACTTCACAAAAGAAAAAAAGAGCCAGATTTAATATGTTAGGGGGTTTTTTTATTTATTTTTTTCTTAGGAAGTTTATTAGCATTTTCGTTTATTAATAGTCGTGTGTTATCTGAATAATTCGAACTTGGTGTGTTTTCAAAAGCTTAATATAACATAAAATTTATCCATATTTTTATATGAAAAAGCATAATTACAAAATTTTATTTACACCATGATAAGTTGAAAAGGCTTATAAGTTGGACTAATATCTTTTTTGACCATATCTCAAAATATAATTAGCAGTTTGTTAATTATATTTTTTTGCTAATTATTATTATTTTTAGACCAAATCTCAAAAATATGATTAGTAGTTTGTTGACCAAACAAAAGAGGAGGAAGAAGATAATTATAAGTTAATTAATTAAAAAAAAAAGAGGAAAGTACTAGGATAACACAATCTTAAGACAAGTGGTAAGAGGTTCTGGAGAGTTCCATTCTCTCTAACGTAGTAACGTGTGTCGGAGAGATACAGAGGAGAAGGAGGAGACACAACAAAAAGAAAACGTTTTTTTCCCCTCTTGTCTCCAAACTTCTTCTTTGATCGTCTATGACACCTATCAAACCCTAACCATCACGTGTGTTTATAATTCAACCAAGGTTCTTATAGATATTGGCCTGTGACTCTGTTTTTGTTAGTTTTGGTTGATAGAAAGAATCGATTTTTATTGTGTTTCTTTGTTGGTTCTGTTTTTGTGGGTTTTTTTTTAAGAGAGGAAGGTATGGGTTCAAAAGGAAACGATGATCTGTATGCTGTTCTTGGTTTGAAGAAAGAATGTACCTCCACGGAACTCCGTTCTGCTTATAAAAAGCTTGCTCTTGTGAGTTTCTTTTTCATCTCGTATCATGTTCATGTAACACACATGATCAATGAAATTGACCTGATCTGGAGTATTGCATGTAGTAGTAGCAAATTGATTTGTTTTGTTAGTTTTGATAGTCAAAGATGAAGCTGATAGGTTTGTATTGAGAGATTTGGAAACTGTGATTAGGCTTGTTATGTGCACTTGTGTGGTGTAATCATTCCTTTTGGCTCTGAACTTTGATTTTGACATTATTGTTAGAGATGGCATCCAGATCGTTGTTCATCAATGGGGAACGAAGAGTTTGTAGATGAATCAAAGAAGAAGTTTCAGGCTATCCAAGAGGCCTACTCTGGTAATTTAACCAATCGTTTCTTCATCTTTCTTTCTTCTCAAAGCTCTCTTTTTTTTAATTGTTTGATGGAACAAATTGGAGTTGATTATTGGATAACAGAAGGCCTTCTTTTGTTTACTTTGATGTGCACTTTTTAAAAGTATTGATTATGTTTGTGAATTAAGTTGCTTTTCTTCCTTTTGTGGACACAACAGTTCTGTCTGACTCCAACAAGAGGTTCCTCTATGACGTTGGAGCTTATAATAGTGATGATGATGATCATGAACAGAACGTAAAGACCCTCCTTTTTTTTGTCTTGTTGTTTTTGCTTGGAGACACATTTCATGTCTGGCTGGTTTTGTGTTGTAAATGGATATGACGTTTACTTCTTTTACATGTGTTTTGTTTGCTGATTCGCAGGGAATGGGAGACTTCTTGAACGAAATGGCGACAATGATGAACCAGTCAAAGCCTAGTGTAAGGCAGCCTGCGTTAGTTTTCCATTAGTTTATTATCAGACGCTATTGAGTTGAATGCGCCCTGAGTGACATTTTGAGATGTTGGTTTTTGGCAGGAGAATAATCCAGGGGACAGTTTTGAACAGTTACAAGATCTGTTTAATGAGATGTTCCAAGCAGACGCTGCATCATTCTCCTCCTCATCTTCATCATCATGCAATGCCTCAACTTTCACTTCCTCTTGTAGCTTTGTTTTTGACACAAACACTCAGCGGTCACCGTTTGAGACAAACTCGATGGGGTCTAATGATCCTTTCGCATTTGACACCAGATCTCACACTTTCTCTTTAGGGGTAATGAATTTTTTAATGCTTATCCTAAAAATGATGTTTGTTCTTGATGAAGAAATGGGTTTTTACTGGTGAAAGCAGGTGGAACATCAGCAGGATTTCAAGAAGGGGAAGAACAATGGTGGGAGAAGAAACAGGAGGAAGAACAATGCTCAATCGTCCTCGTCTTCAAACAACTATGGAGTCCCCACTTCATAGCCCCCTCCCTTGAGGACCATGTTTTTGCTAACTCATCTCCACATTTGTCGACTAGTCACACACAAGAAGACTGGTTCTCTGGTCTTCTCAACAGCAAGCATTAAAAAACTCCAAACGTTGTCGTGTTTGTAAACTCGGAGCTTATTTTTTCTTTCTTTCTCTCATCTCTACTGTGTGATTGAATTCTTGTCTCCTATACATGAGTCTTTAAGACCATTGAGATTGATGAAGTCAACGGGTTTATGATGACGAATACTTGTCCTAAATTCTTAATTAGTCATTGGTTTTCGCAGCATTTAGTCATGTATACACTTCTTTGTTTGGTATTGAACCAAGCGTCACACAATCGATGGCAATATACAGTATTATTGTTTGCAAACAACCTGAACCTGATCTTTTCACCGACTCATCTGCCGACAGCTTACCATCACTGTCAGTGAAACTGGATGAGACCAGATAGAGATGGAGAAAGAAGGTAGCGTGGAGAGGCGGCAATGACGTTAATGAAAGAGCAGAGACTGTGAAGCTTAAACATTTGGTGGAGCTTGGGAAAGAGAGGATGATGTAACGGAACATTCAAGAAGCTGGAGAGGGTGTATTAATTAATAATAATCAGCAGTCATCGCAGTGTGAAGGATAACTGCAACGTGTAAGTTAAACAGTTTGAAGAGAGAGAGAGATGTTGATATGATAGGATACAGTTACAATGTTGTGGAGTGTGTAAGTGTAGAAGTGGATATGATGTTTAGGACTGTGTCTCAAACATTGGTAGTAGGTGGAAACTGTATGAGAATGATAATGCTCATACGCTAGAGAAGCTTCCAACATTTTTAAATCATGAGATCAGTTACAGAGTGATGGAGACAGAGTTGTTAAGTACATAAAGAACTGAGGCATAGTGAGCTGAAACTATGTTACTACTACTACGAGTACCATTTCTTTGTCATAATTGAGATGCTTCTCCTCGATGCTAGAAGAATCTGTGAAAACAAACAAATAAGCTTTAGCACAAGTTTAGAAGAGAGCTTAGAAGATATATGTCTAGTTTACTACCATGGGGGAGTAGAGTATCAGCAGAGAAGTGATCGTCCAGAGACTCTGCTGCTCTTTGATGCACTTGCTGTGATCATGTAAGAACATCTCTCTACAGCTATCTTGATTTCACCTTTCGCAGCAGAAGCGAGATTCTTGTTCTCCAGACTTGTTTGTGATATCATTGAGAGCCTTACGAGCTCCCTCCAGATTTCTTCTTCTGACCAAGTTCAGATCCTTTGGTACTTATCACAGAAGCAGCAGCAGTAACAGTCTCTGAAAATAACAAAAAAGAACATTACATTCATCAACACTTTTAAACATATTGACCATTCATCAACACTTTTAAACATATTGACTTTTTCTGACAAGAGAGAAGGTGAGGAAGAGTTGGTTTGTTTAAGGAGAAAACAGCCAAAAAAACCTCTGAACTTTCAAATTAAAACAAAAAATTTATAATTTGTGTTTGAGCAAAAAAATTCTGAATTTTTAAATATTGGTCGTTTTAACTCCTATATTTTGTTGACTCGGCCATTTAAGAAACTCAAATAGCCAACTATTAAACTTGATTATAAAAATAGATGTTTGTTAACTCTCTAAATGATGCCGTTTTAAAATTTTAATCCCACGGTCTTATCTTGCTTCTTTAAATAATTAAAACATCTCTTCTGTGAAACTAGAGCCCCAAACCGACTTCATCTTCTTCACTGAAAATGAGAAAATGAAGTCGATTTGGAACTTTGGTTTAAGGTATTTTAAGTGTTTACAAAAGTAAAATAACGTTGTTTAGTTAATGTTTAACTGGTTGTTAAAACGACTTCGTTAAAAAAGTTAGCATGTGTTTTAATCGAGTTTAACATTTGACTATTCAGATTTCTTAAATGGCCGAGTCAACAATATATGAAAAGTCAAAACAACCAATATTTGAAAGTTGACGATTTTTTTAGCTCAAACACAAGTTAAAGATTTTTTTCTTTAATTTAAAAATTCAAACTTTTAATGGTTATTTTCTCATTGTTTAAATCCTTTGTTTTGTTTTGTATATGGAAGGAAAAATAATATGATGGTAGTAATGAGTTTTAAATGCTACTAATAAATATAAACTAGATTTTGACCCGCGCTTGAGAAGCGCGGATTTTATTTTGGTTGTAGCAAAATGTATCAAATGATTCTTATTTTATTATATGATAGTTTTATATGTGAAATTTGATGTATATTTAACGTTTTAGTAGGATCTTTTCATTGAGTTTTGCATAACCGAGTCAGTTTGTGGTTGAACAAAGAATCAAAAAAATTAAGTATTGTGAGAGTATGAAAAATTAAAACACATATTACATTTTGACCCGCGCTTGGATTAAATAGTTTACTAAAATAATTACATTTATGATTTTTGAACAATAAAAGTAATATTCAATTTTGACCCGCGCATTTTATATAGTTTATTTATGTTAGTTAAAATAATTACATCTATGATTTTTGAACAATAAAAATAATATTCAATTTTGACCCGCGCTTAAGAAGGGCGGGTATTTTTTTGTTGACCATAAAATAAATATTAAATTAATTTATTAGAGTCAAAGGTAACTCAAAAATAATTTTTTTATAAGAGTCAAAGATAACTCCAAGTATATAAAGAAGAATTTAAATATTGCAAGATTATGGAGTAACAAATGAGATTTGTTACTCCAATTATCTCATTTTCTGTTTTAATATGCAGCAAATATAGTATAAATCGATTTTCATTTATTATATCATAGTATATTGATCTGTTTTATACAACACTGTGTATTTTTCATATAAATAAATCAGTCGATAAATCGTCAAGAAAAAAAAAACAAATATTATTTAAAATAAAAATTATTGGGTGAAAACAAAATGAGATTTTGATTCAACCAGGATTAACGCTCGAGAATCATCATAACGCGATTGTCAAAACATAACCAAAAACATTATTTTTAAACAAACATAATCCTAAAACGGATCGATGGAGAATCATCATGACCTCTGCGATTTTGATTCAGCCAGGGTTAACGCTCGAGAATCATCATTACCTTTGCGATTATAAATAAGTTTTAGAATTTAGTCTATAATATTATAAAGTGAAAACATGTTTGTTAAAGAAGATAAATACCGTTGTTTAAATTCATCTGTCTCTGGTATTTCAGGATTAACAGTCTCGAGGAATGTATGTCTTGTTACACGAGGCATGGATCTTACTTCCCTATATAAACATAAAACATTATCATTTAGGTTAAAATTTAACGAAATGAAGATATCTAAATCAAAAATCTATACAAAACGATAAATTTACATTTGCATCACAAAGGATTAGTTCCATGGACTCCCTTAGTCTTTCATGAAATGTCTTCACGTATGAAGGATTTTGAATTGGATGCGACAGGAGTCTTCCTCGGTTTTATATCGCTCGAGAAAGACAACTGCAAATTATTCGCCATATTTTTTAGGTTTTCGAAGAGATGATAAATATAATGGTTAAGAGAGGCTATATTTATAATATGTAGGGACGATATACAATTAGGTTACGCGAATGTAGGGGAGAATATTTCATACGAATTTTTAAAATATCTCTTTTGAGGAATAAGGAATATTTCTTGAAGATTTTGAATTAGTTAGGAAGTTTAAAGTATAACAGTTAATGGTAATCCAACTACGGTAAGTTACCGAAATTTATGGAATCTACGATATTGATTGTGGTTAATCTATAACTTGTAGGTAAAACAATTTCTTTATTTTAGTAGGAAAATAATTATAGAAAACCGTATTTGCAATATTTTCTTAACAATACGTATCTCGTCCATTAAATGTCAACATGAGAGTGATGATATATATATTTTTTGGTTGATATCACTATATGTCGTCTAACTGGTATATAAATACATGTAAATTTAGTGAGACATGAAAACATATTTCATATATGAAGAAAACATGAAATGAAGGTCTATAACACAATATAAATGAAATGAAAGTTTATAAAGTCCATGTATGATGCATATACCAAAAAATATCAACCAAAAAGTATAATGTTAGAAATATATAGATTGAAATCGTGTAATATAAGGTCTATAACACAATATAAATAAAATGAAGGTTTATATAGTCCATATATGATGCATATACCAAAAAATGTCAACCAAAAAAATATAGTGTTGGAAATATATAGATTGAAATCATGTAATATAAGGTCTATAACACAATATAATTGTATGAAATATAGTATGGTATATAAATACGGGTAAATTTAGTGAGACATGAAAACATATTTCATATATGAAGATAAATCATGAAATGAAAATCTATAAGAGAATATAAATGAAATGAAGGTTTATAAAGTCCATGTATGATGCATATACCAAAAAATGTCAACCAAAAAAGTATAATGTTGGAAAAATATAGATTGAAATCGTGTAATATAAGATGTATAACACAATATAAATGTATGAAAAATAGTTTGGAATATGGTTATAAAGTATATATATGATTTATATACCAAAAAAAGTCAACCATACAAGTATAATGCCGAAAATCTATAGATTGAAATCATGTAATATAAGGTGTTTAATATAATACAAATGTATGAAATATATTATGAAGTGTGGTTATAAAGTTCATATATGATACATATACCAAATCGTGTAATATAATGTTGGAAATCAATAAATGTATGAAATATAGTATGAAATATGGTTAAAGTAATTAATGGGAAGAGAGAAAAATAATTAATGGGAAAATAAAGAATAATTAATGGTTAGAGTAATTAATGGAAAGAGAGAGAATAATTCGGGTATATGCAATATGTGATATGATTTGTAACAAATTGATATATATATATATAGATGTAAGACGAAAATAAATTACCAAAATGCCATTAATGAAGGGTGCACACAACTTCCATCAGTCGATTTTTCAAGGGTGCCTTCACTTTTAATAGTATAGATGACCAGACAGTCTTTTACTCCGTTTGAAACTAAGTACACACATAAGAAAGAAATACCCTTTTCGTTCGCCTCGCCACTTTTTGATGTTGATGTTGCTTGATTATATGAATTGAATGTTAAAATCTGATTCAGAACCAAAGTATTTGGTTTATCAATGAGAAATAAAGAGAGATGAGAACAATGAAAATGTTGGCCACCAATCCTGTTATTCGAGTTATGATTAGGAAATATAATTTATTTAAGAAATATATTTTTGTTTTTCTTTGTCAACAATTTAGGAAATATCTAAATAAGTTTTCTTTTAATGAAATTAGAAGCTTTATATCTCTATATAAGAAGATGATAAGTTGTAACATAACTTCTGAGTTTTAGAGATTGTTGTGTTTGATGCTTAATTTTTTAGTTATTTTCTTAAACTAATAAAGACATTTATTCTTTATTTTGTGATCTTATACAATTCGTTAAACTTGAAAATAAAATTTATTTTGAGAAAAGTAATTTTAAACTGCTTCACAAAATATAATCAATCTTAAAGTAAATGGATAATAATCAGCTAATAACGCTAACATTCAACTGGTTTGGACAATGTTTGTGCGCCGTTTCTAATTTGTAATTTGACTGAAGCTTTATGGTTATTTTGTATTTGACTTGGCAGATATATCTAGTGTTGTGACTTCCACCCTTAACCAGAAATGTGAAGAGTTTGCTATATGGGGTTTAGTGGATCACGGAGATGAAATTGACGTGATTGCGCATGTTGTCATTTCAAGCAAATCTTTGTGACACCATACTCTAAACCTGGAGTCTCCTTAGCAGTTTAGTGTGTTGGATGTACTCTTATCTTGAGCCCTGAGTGAGTCTTCAAACATGGAACCTGAACTGCTGATCAAACCGTTCAGAAGAGTTTTGAGATGCAACTTCGACAGATTCCGACTTCTCATTTGGAAAAACAAAGAGTTGACAAGCCTGCTTTAATGGGATCTTACTGAAAAGGTATTTGGTTTGACTTTTCATATTATTCGTAATGGATTCTAGCTATGTTAACTAACTATTCTCTTTTCACTTCAGGTTACCCCTTTACCATGGATGGATGTTTGGCTTCACAATGTGATAGTAGATATGGTAGAGGCAGTCATTTGCTTTCTTGAGCAGGATATAGTTCATGGATACCAATAAATGAACCTGGTGAGAGGCAGTATTATGTTGATGCTATGGCAACGTTCAAACAATTTGCCGAGTTCAAGGTCAAAGGAAACTTCCTTGTACGAGTGAATATCAATCTAGGTGATGTAGAAAGTGTTCGAGCTAAATATTTGGTGGGAGAGATGAAAAGGGAAGCTTACATAAGTTCACTCTTGAATTACAAGGAAGCAAAGAAAGGACTTTTTGTTGCTCGATACAATGGACTAGAAGTCATGGTCAACAACTAGCTTGCTGTGTCATATCTTAAATATGCAACCTTTTAGGAAAAGAAGAAACATTGGTTGAAGATCGTGGACAAATAGTATCTCGGGAACTACTTCGAATAAAAAATACATGAACTATCAATCGATGCTGTTTTGAGAGAAGCATTGGTTTTATTTGAATATAATGTTTTAAAGGAAGTTCTTATAGATATAGGTCTGTGGCTCTATGTCTGTAGGTGTTTGGTTGGTCAAAAGAATAATTCAGCGGACAATTTTTGAACAGTTACAAGATCTGTTCAATGAGATGTTCCAAGGAGACGCTTCAGCATTCTCCTCATCTTCATTCTTGTAGCTTTGTCTTTGATACAAACGTCTAGAACTCACCGCTTCTCCTTAGGGGTAAATGATTCATAAAACCATACTCTCTTAATGCTAATGAAGATGCCAGTTGTTCTTGATGATGAAATGGATTTTGCAGGTGAAACATCAGCAGGATTTCAAGAAAGGGAAGAACAATGGTGGGAGAAGAAAGATGAGGAAGAACAATGCTCAATCTGTTGTTCATGAAACATTCTCTTCAAACAACTATGGAGTCCCCACTTCATAGCGGCCCTTGAACTAGTACTTGTTATTTGATTTGTACTCGGTTTGAAAAATCAAGTATTTGGTGTTGTCAAGTCAAGTACTAAGTTTGTAAATCATATTACTTGTAAGTACAAGTCAAGTATCAAGTATCACGATTTTTTTATTACTCGGTTGGGTACTTTTTTTATTACTTGTTATTGATTTTTAAAATATATACTACTCTTTTGAAATATTTGTTTTACTACTAATATTGTAATAAAAAATATATTAGTTTTTAGGTATTTACGTAACGTATGCTTATTATGAATGAATCATATACACGCACCAAATCAAAATTACTTAAATAGACTAAATAGAATAACACGTATATGAAAAATAAAAGTATTTATTATATGTTAACTGAACTTATATATTTTGATATATTTGATTTTAAAGTTTTAAATTTAGATAAAAAAATATCAAGTATTATCAAATAACATACAAATATTTAAATTATAGACAAGTACTCCACTAACTAAGTAATTGATCCAAACAAGTACAAACATAAGTCAAAAATTCTTATACTTGCACAAGTCAAATAGCGGGTAGGGTGAAAATGCTAAATACTCAGCTTGCCCCCAGGCCTACCTTGAAGACTATTGTTTTGATAACTCATCTCCACATTTGTCGACTAGTCACACACAAGAGGACTGGTTCTCTGGTCTTCTCAACGGCAAGCCATCAAAAACTCCAAGCGTTGTCGTTTGTAAACTCTCGGAGCTTATTTATATTTTTCTCCTTCTCTCTCTACTTTGTGATTGAATTGTTATCTCCTCTGCAAGAGTCTTTAACCATTGAGATTGATAAAATCAACGGGTTTATGATGACGAATGCATGTCCTAAATTCTCAACAGTAGTTAGTTTTCTTCTCAGCATTTAGTTGTATATATACGTATTTTTGTTGTGTTTCAAAAAAAAAAAAAAATATATATATATATACGTATTTTTGTTTGGTACTGATTACTGAACCAAGCATCACACAGTGATGGCAAAATATTATTGTTTTCCAAAATCTGAGCCTGAACTCTCCACCAACTCATCTGTCGACAGCTTTACCACCACAGTCAGTGTGAAACGGGATAAGACCAGAGATGGAGAAAGAAGGTAGCTTGGAGAGGTGGCAATGGCATTTATGAAAGAGTGAGGATGAGGAGCTAGAGCTACAGAGGATGCAGTTCCTTAAATTATAACTGTATATGTCACAGAGCAATCAAGAAGCTGGAGATGGTGTAAGAAGAATCAGCAATGTAATGTAAGTTAACAGCTGAATAAAAATATGTTGAAACTGGATAATTTGTTTAGGACTGTCTCTAACATTGGTCGCAGATGGAAACTGTATAAGAATGAAAATGCTCATACGCTAGAAAAGATTCCAACTTTTTATTTCATGAAATCAGTGATGGACACAAGAGTTGTAAGTACATGAAGAACTGAAACAAAAGATAGTTACTACTACTACTGCTTCTTCATCTGAAGGATGAATCTTTGTAAAAGACATTAAGAAACAGACATTCAGAAGAGGTCGTCCTTGAGAGTGAATTCATCTGAATCAAACCGCCAAGCCAGAGGTGTAGAAGGCATCATCATCATGGAGCCATGACGGATTGGGGAGCGCCACGGAGTTGAGCTCTTAAGCCAATCAGTCATCTTGGGAGACGGAATCTCTTCTGGCTCGTCACAAGTCAGATTGTTCTTAGCATCCATCTGTAACCAACACAGATTCAGTCTGATACGTGGAAAGGTAAATACTAATCAAGAGTCAGAGATACACAATGAATCAGAATAAAGTACCATTTCTGTCTCATACTTGAGATTCTTCTCCTTGATGCTGGAAGAATCTGTAATAAAAACAAAAGAACAAGCTTAACACGAGTTTACAAGCAAAGCACATCAGAGCTTAGAAGATACAAATCTAGGTTACTACCATGGTGGAGTAGAATATCAGAAGAGAAGTGATCATCCCAGGGACTCTGCTGCTCTTTGATGCACTTGCTGTGATCATGTAAGAACATCTCTCCAGCTATGTTGATATCTCCCTTTGCAGCAGTTGCAGCAGAAGAAGAGATCTGCTTGTTCTTAGCAGAAGCTTTGGGAAGAACACCAGACTTGTTTGTAATATCATTGAGAGCCCTACGAGCTCCTCCAGGTTTCTTCTGACCAAGAACAGTTCCTTTGGTACTTTTCACAGAAGCAGCAGTTACACTCTCTGAAAATAACAAAACATTCATCAACACTTTAAAGATACTGACTTTTTCTTGACAAGAGATAAAGACAGTAAAGTTAATTACTTTTGCGATGAATCGGAGCGTTCTCGTCAGGGAAGATCATTTGTTGAAGAGCGTTCATGTTCGCCATAGATCTGCGGAAAAAAAAAACCAAGAAGATCGAATCAATTAAGTTAGAAAACCCTAATTTCAACCCAGAAACACAAACCCTAATTTGATTCTACACCATGATCCTCGGTAAATCAGAAAACATTTACGAACTAATTAGAGACAAAATTAACGGATAGAATAACTGAGAATCTGGCGATGAAAGATCGTACCCTAGATCAGAAGAAGCAGTTTCTTGGTGATTTTTCTTGTAGTAGAGAGAAGTGGATATTTTTATTTTTCCGATCTTGTTCTTTGCTTTTATCGATGATTAAAGAAGAGTGGACTCTGAATCAAGCGAGAGAGTGAATTTATAGAAGGAACCAAAAAGGTTTACTAGCCGTTAAGAGCCGTTGTAGAATATTTTAAATATGGCCCAACAAGACATTCCCCAGGCCCATTAGTTTATGTTTTGTGCTTCGTAACATTATTTTTAATAACTTTTCCTGTTATTTTTGTTAATTATTTTAAATTTTATTATTCTATACTAATATTCTAATATAAAAAATCAATAGCACAAATTTAAGATAAGATCAATACTATGATTTATTTAAAATATTTTAAGAATAGATATGTATATATTTAAAATTTATAACTATAGACAGATTTTCATTTTTTTGGATTAGATGTATTAGATCAACTAGTATACAATTTTTAAAATTGATAAAAAAAAATTATAATTATAAAAGTATAAACAAAATAAATCTTTTAACATTTGTAGATATAAAAAAAAATATCAAGATTTAATTTAATATTTTTAAAAGGATTGTATAAAATTGGAAATATCTTGTTGATTAACAAAAACTATATGATTATAAAATATAGTAATTATATTTCGAAATTTAGAAATAATTTATATTTATATTATTATATTATTTAATAACATATTTAAAATATTTATTTTAGTGATGATATATGAGTTATTAATATTTTGAATTTTTTATCAAAAATAAAAGATAACATTAAATGTTGTTCTCCATGTAATATTCTTTTGTAAACTAAAAGGGTTAAACCCAGATCTATTAAAGACACATATTTAACCCCAAATGAAGTTACAATTTAAAAATAGACTCTTTCTTGGATATTCAAATTGATCGAAACCAATAATCCATATCGGTGTGACTTCAAAGTGAACCGTAATGATGAAACCTTTGAACATGGATTGTCTTAAAGTTCGCCTACCATTACAACACCACCTTGTTGTTTCTTTATGTAATATTTAACCTTAAACTATGTTATCTTTTTTATTATGGTATGGTACCAATTTTTTTGTGTAAGTGATTGTCAAGAAGATATGTATGAAATCAATTCGTAAATCTAATTATATAAAGGAGAGTTTTTTCACTCCTCCTTCATCCACGTCAACAATTAGAGAAACAGTACACTGACACGTGGTAACGAGTTTTGTTTGCTCCAAATCTTTGCGATACATAATGGGCTTATACTGGGCTTTATTTAAAAATATAGAATACGGATTTCCAAGCCTCATAGAGTTCATGAGAGGCATCTTCTGAAATTAGGGTTCCGTCGTCTTCCTCGACATGCCATGATCTCAACCAGCATTGGAGATTCAGAATGTCGAGTCCGACGAATCGTCGTGAGGAAACTGTGTCATGTTCGAATTGTCGTTTCATCTTCATTGAATGAAGCCTTAGAGACGTTTACAAGTTATCTTGATTCAAGGCTTTTACGAAACTTATCAACTCCATCAACGCCCATGAAGCCCCATTCCCTCATTCAATGATATTCTCTGTAAAAGGCGGTGTTTCTCCATTTATAAATAGGTAATAATTCGTCCCTTAATCATCGTCACTGACAATCCCAAAAACTTGATTATGGCTAACTCATCTATTCTTCTTTGTGATTTGAAGGCCGGTCACTGTTCGTCCACCTTGGAAGAGGCTGTTGAGATTCGATTTGATAGGGGTGGATATGATTCTCCTTGATGCAGAGGTTTCCTGATCTTAATCTCATATTGTTTTTACTTAAAAAATTCCGGTTTTCACATTCATAAATATGGAACTCTTTAATTCAGATATCTATTGAATCTCTTTTTAATGCCATATTGTGATACAGTTTGTTGATGATGCTTTCTTTGTCACAACCTTTATATTTCTTGCACTTTTATAGAGATTATGATTGCAAACTCCTCTCTTAATTTCCGCCGTAAGTGTTTCTCGCCCCGGAAGTTGTATCACCGAAAGTTCAACCTCTGAGATTTTGGGAGGGAAGCGGCAAGCTAATGTGTATCGACATGCTCTTCCTGGACGCAAAGGTAATCCCGGCAAACATACACATACTCATCTTACTATTCCTTGCACTGTTTAACTTTTACATTTGTAAGAAACTCATCTTCAACCAGCGTCGCCTTCAAGAATCTCCTACCATCGGACATGTGTTTCCTCTTTGATCCTATATCTTCTGGTGAACGAGATTGTTTGATTAGTTTTGTGAAATCTTAAGATAAGTGTGTTAATCTCTAGAAGCATCCACGAATTTTTTTTCTAAAATTATTTTGACTAGGTGTTCTTAGTTGCTAGGATCACGACTTCTAGATCAGTTTCATTATCAACTTCTGTAGACACTGATTAAGCCATTGGGACTCAAACTGTATCTCTTTTGTGTCATGAGACTTTAGAGTTCTCTACTCTTCCATTCATTTGTATTTGACATTTCTTACTGGTGAAAATTGCAGTGTGTTGGTATACTCGGGCAATTGATATTGCCATATAGGACAAGTGCGCGACTTCAGTGAAGATGTGTCTCTCATGCCCGAAATCAAATACAGTGATTTTCTGAATGCTTACATGGGCTTCAGGCTGCAAATTAGGCAGCTCTACCTTCTGCTGCTGTTCATGACGTCAAAACACACACAAAAAAAACACAGGACAAGGCTGGGCAAGAGGCTGGGTATTGACTGGCTCTGATCGTTTAGAAGCTGTTGTTGAGACGACCACACATACGATGGATACGACCATGCTTTAATTGAAAGAGGGTGAGAGGTTTCCTTTCATGATTTATAGTATGCTTCAGACAGATTCTAGGTTTGTTTGGTTCTCACGTTTAAATATGTTTAGCTAAAAAAGGCATTAGAGAGTTCTTTTACTGTATTACTCTCATTAGATGGCCAAAGAACTTAGTCAAATATAGTCATCAGTTTATCAACCCTTAGAAGCATATTCAGGGTTTGGTTAGGTTGCTACTTTTTTTCTGTTTGGAATCATTTCTTAGATGATAAAGACACCGTGCAAATCCTTTTATCATGATAGTCACATTGCCTGACACTTAATTGATCACAAAGCCGTTAATCTTTGTTCCAAAAATGGATAAGCCAGTTAAGGAGAGGTTTGTTCATCTATTATTTCTTCAAATTAGTTATTGCTACTTTTGCTGATGGAGAAAGTGACAGAGAGAGCGAGATGTGGAGCCATGGAATAAGTGATGGAGAGTGTGACGAGGGATAGCAAAGGCAATTTCTGCAGTTCAAACTGTCACAGTGGAGGTAGATAAGCTCTCGGACATGGTGAGTTTATAAGAGCTGCAATGTTTTCCGTTTTTCTTTTTACAAAAAAGGAATGAAAGATTGTGTCTAAGTTGATTTTTTTTCTTTCAAAAAATAGGTTTATGCTTCCCAAGTTTCTGTAAATGGAGGGATGGAAATTGCGAGAATCAAAACAAAACTTCAAGAGCAGAAGTTACAAAATTCTTATAGGAGTTCAACTTATGGCTTAGTAGCCTAAAGGAAGAGCTAACGCATGTTGCAACAGTTTCAGTATTATAAAAAACAAAGTGTAATAGCTAGACCTTCTCAATCTAACCATCTCGCCAACATCACAAAGATGTTACCAAACTAACTTAGATCTGTAGAGTATTCCCTACTCAGAGATGTATCAAACTTTTCCCATTCCAATATTTTTGTCTATTGAACTACGTCATAATGTTTTTCCATAGTTTAAAGAATCTACTGCGAAGTAAAACTGAAGCCTTCCTACAAATGATTACTAACATTGCATTGATGGACTTGGTACCTTTTCTTTGCCCATTCATGTTTATAGATAAGAAGTGTTTAGTATTAGGATAGTTTTTATGAAACGAGCTTTGGCTATTTATAATCAAGTCAATTTTGTGTTTGGGAGTTTGTCATTGAGTCATTCATACCAACTATAAGTTGGGATTGGCTAACCGAGATGTGAGCAGGGGGTTTATGAAAAAAAAAAAGGTAGACAAAAGAGTGACCATAAGCTATTAGGTAATACTTAATTAACAAACTTAAACACACTTGAGTCAGCATAAAAATCAAACGTATAATAATGTGTTACTCTTCTACGTTGAAGGACAATACACGTAAAATGGAAAAAACAAGAAGCGTTTGTGATGTAATCGGTACTGTTAATAGATGGATAATATAATGATTAGGAATAATGATTATGCAAGTCTATTTCTAGATTATATAAAAAAATTTAAGTTACATTATCATGTATTAGCATATGATATCCAAAGATAATATAAAATAATTTTTAACCATAATAGAATTTTTGTTATACTTTGTTACTAATTATTTTGATCACCAAGCCATTCAAATAAAATTACAGTATTACCCAAATACAATTATGAACATTATAAAGCTATTTATTATATATGGCAAATACATCAACAATTCAACATAGTAGGACGAAAGGAAAACAAAAAAAAATCAAAAGATAATTTTTCTAATACTATTGAAAGTTATAATTTAATGGTTCGAAAGCAAAATAAAATTTCACATTTAAATCTTATTTTACATAAACTTATATAATTTATATAACATATATGCAAATTAAATTATCATGTTAGATATATTTTTTCTTTAATTTTTTTTAATGGTAAAATTGTCTAATGGTTTATTTTAATAATATATGTTAATATATAAAAAATATTAAAAGAAAGAAAAAATATATAATTTAAAAATAAACGTTATATAAAAATCCGGGCGTAGCCCGGACCTACCCTAGTAGTTTCATAAATAATGTCTAAAGGGATTCGCCATTTACGGTTGTTAACAAAACAAAAAGTATGTAACATCTTTCACATGCTACGAACTACGAAGCAATAACTGGTGCAATCATTTTGGGTTTGTAGTCCATTAGCCCAAAATAAAGCCCATTAGTTACCCAAAGTAAATTCATCCACGTCACCGTTGTAAGAAAAAGGAAAGAACAAGTAAACCGGGCCGGCAACTTTACCGGTGACGGAATCTTACTCGGCCCCTTCCAATCACATCCATACACGTCGACTCCCCGTATCGTCTCACGTCCATCCACGTGTCCCCTTACTCACCGACGCCGTCTCCTTCCCGTTACCCCCGAACAGATATTAACTCAAACCCTAACCCTATCTCTCTCTCCCCAATTCTGACTCAGATCCGGCGAATATCTCAACAATCCATGGACGACGAAGAGGAGATCCGATCTCACGCCTCCTCTTCCCCCGATCGCTCCCCCTCGCCGGCGCCGGGAGGCGTCACCGTTACGGTGGCTTCGACAGGTCCGCCTTCCTATTCCCTAACTCCCCCGTCCTCCTCCTCCTCGAGAGATCCAAACGCGTTGGCTCTCGCGCTGCTTCCGACAACCGGCGGTGGCGGAGGAGGAGGTAGCAGCAGCAACGGGAGAGCGAGCGGCGGCGGCGGGAGGGAGGATTGCTGGAGCGAGAAGGCTACGGCGGTTTTGATCGACGCCTGGGGGGAGAGGTACATGGAGCTGAGCAGAGGGAATCTGAAACAGAAGCATTGGAGAGAGGTTGCGGAGATTGTGAGCAGTATGGAGGATTACGGTAAGACTGCTAAGACTGATATACAGTGTAAGAATAGGATTGATACGGTTAAGAAGAAGTATAAGCAGGAGAAGGTGAGGATTGCTAACGGTGGGGGGCGGAGTAGATGGGTGTTTTTCGAGAAGCTTGATAGGTTGATTGGTTCCACGGCGAAGATTCCGGGTATTTCTGGTGGTGGGAGTGTTGGAGGAGGGTTGAATAAGATTCCTATGGGGATTCCTATGGATAGCCGTTCGAATTTGTATCATCAGCAAGGGAAGGCGCCGGGTTTTAATAATCTTGACCGGTTAATTGGAGCTACGGCTAGGGTTACTGCTGCTTCGTTTGGCGGTGGAGGTGGAGGAGGAGGAGGAGGATCAGTTAATGTTCCTATGGGAATTCCGATGAGTAGCCGGTCGAATCCGTTCGGACAGCAAGGGAGGATGATGCCTCAGCAGCAGCAAGTGAGGACGTTACCTCAACAACAACAGCAAGGGAGGACGCTGCCTCAACAGCAACAAGTGAGGACATTGCCTCAGCAACAGCAGGGGATGATGGTGAAAAGATGCAGTGAGTCAAAACGCTGGCGTTTCAGCAAGAGGAATGCGAGTGATTCAGACTCGGAGTCCGATGCGCCAATGTCTGATGATGATGATTCCGGTGATAGTTTACCACCTCCTCCTCTGTCCAAGAGGATGAAGACAGAGGAGAAGAAGAGGAAGGAAGAAGGAGGAAGCAAGTGGAGGGAGCTAAGTCGTGCGATCATGAGATTCGGTGAAGCTTACGAGCAAACAGAGAACGCGAAACTGCAACAGGTGGTGGAGATGGAGAAGGAGAGGATGAAGTTCTTGAAGGAGCTGGAGTTGCAGAGGATGCAGTTCTTTGTGAACACACAGTTGGAGATATCAGAGATTAAGCAGGAAGGGAGGAGAACGGGAAACACTAGTAATAATGATCATCACAAGAGCAGAAACAACATGAATGCTATTGTCAACAACGATGTCGGTAACTAGAGTTATAGTTGATTCAGGTCGTTATTTACATATATTTTAGATTTGAGTTTGGAAATTGTCGAGAAAGAAACTTATTTAGGCTTTTATCATGAGTGTATTATTAATAGTTTGCTAAACCTTTGTTTAATTTTGGTTACGTGGAACAGATTTTAACTTGCATTGGAATAGTTCTGAATAACTATTCTCTTTCACTCCTCTGTAGATATTGTCTTGTTGAGGTTGTTAAAACTTGTTTGCTGAACCTCTTGGGTTAGATCATGTGTTACTCTGAGAGCTGACATTGGTTAGAACATGACCTAAACATCCTTGGTACAATACAATTGCCACTTTAATGTTATGTTTGGTTATTATGACATTGATGATTTGCATGTGTACCTAAAGACATGTTTAACTTTCTTTTTTTAATAGAATAGTTTGAGCTAGATTTTCTTGTATCGGAAGCCACCCGTGATTTGCTATAAAAAGTTGAATGTTAGGCAAAACAACTTTTTGTTTGTGTGTTTAATTCTTTATAATGTTTCCTTTTTGGGCGTTTTAGACAACTTGGCAATGACTTCTAAGAATTTCAGTCACCCACATGGATGATTCTCATAAAATAATCTTCTGCACTAACATATAAATAAGTTGCATTCATTCATGCTTGTTTGTAAGTTAATTATATTCCTTTGGTATCTTCTCTCTCTTTGAAATTACAGAAGAATTATAAAAGTGAAATCCTATAATTAGATATGTTTCCAGCTTTTTTCATGGGCTCCATCATTTTGTTTAAAGCGTTGCTGGTGTTATAAAATAAAATATTAGTAGTCTTGAGCAGAGTGGATTAAGTAGTTTATCATTTAGTTTTGTCAATATCTATTTAGTTGTATTTGTTTAAAAGTTAAGAGCTGTATATACGTATTTGTGTATACACACGCACAGTGAGAGAGATTTTGACTCTTTTGAAACACCGAATCAATCATTGTGCACGTTAAAAAAAATTCGGATCTGAAAGCTAAAGTACCAAAGTACCCCTCGTTCTTGGCCTATGGCTATTTGTGATCAGAACAATAATTTCATTGACCCTTTATTATATATGTGTTGTGTTTTTATTTATACATGGAAAGTTAGCTAAGTTTTGCTCAGTTTCGTATCTCCAATAAATACACCTTGAAAGCATTTTACCTCCTATAAATCCTTTACAAAAACTGATAACTATTGAAAAAAACGTTTGGGATTAGGCGAACCCTATTTTGGGGATTTCGCATTTTACTTGCCGACTTTTATTTTTATATTTAATTTAAGTTTTAAAATTTTACTTTTTTTTTTGTTTCTCACGGTATACGGTACTTGTCGTCAACAACAAAAATGGTGATTTTCTCTGTCTGAAAACACTTTCTCTCTCTCTCTCTTGAATCTACTTTCTCTCTCTCTGAAAAAGTAGATTTTGAAAAAAGGGGAGTATAGGACGGGAGGAAAGACAATGGGAGATACATGAAATCCACCACTCGGAAGCAACTAAAAAAGTTAGAAGTTAAGTCAAACGAGTTTGAAGTGAAGAGCAGAGAGATAAAACAAAAAAAACACAATCGCCGCCATTGTTAGGTTTTTTTTTTAAAGAAATCGAATAACAAAGCGTTGAACTTTGTATTGAAGATTAGATTTGTATTGAACATAGACATCAGAGAAAGAGACTCAACATTCTTGATAGCGACTCCTCGAATTTGAATCCGAAAGAGACACATAAAGATCTCATTTTTTTGTTTCCTTACACCTACAGGTAAGCGTCTACTATAGGCTGATCCGAGAGGACTTCAAAATTTCTGAGCTTTTTTGAATCTTCTTTTTCACTTTGCCTTTTGAGTTTCGAATTTTGAATTCGAATCCTTGGCCTTTCTTGGATTTGACTGTGAATTAGTTTCCTTTATTGGCTGGATTTTGCATGATCGGAAGCAGATCTGGCAATGCGGTTGATGCTGTGTGTTTTTGTCAACATTAGGGTTTCTATTATTGTAATGTGGCCTCTTTAGTTGTGATTTGCTTCCTATGTATTAACTGTTTCTATTGTGGATCAGTTTCTCTTTGCCGCTTCAGTTTCCTCTATTGCATTTTACGTTTTTAGGGGATGATGATGACTTGAACTTTGACTCTTTACATCCCACAGCTTCTTTTGTTGGGGTATGTGAAACGGGGAGGAGAAGATGAGACCAGCTGATTTACCTCTTGACTATGCTGTCTTCCAACTCTCCCCAAAGCGCTCTAGGTACTAGTATTGGAGATGGATTCTTTTTTTTTTTTTCCCTTGTTTCATTGTTAGTGTTTTCTTAAAAATGCTTATTTTTCTTTCTGAGCAGATGTGAATTGTTTGTCTCTACTGCTGGGAATACTGAGAAGCTTGCTTCTGGACTGGTCAAACCTTTTGTTGCTCATTTGAAAGTCGCTGAAGAGCAGTTCGCCAGGGAAGCTCAGTCTATAAGGCTACAAGTTGAAAGGACCGAAAATGCAGGAGCTTGGTTTACCAAAGGGACACTTGAGAGGTTTTGATTTTCAAGTTTTAGTGGAGTAGACCTCATTGTTTGCTAATGTTCCTTGTGCTCTCTTTGGTTTATAGGTTTGTACGCTTTGTTAGTACCCCAGAGGTTCTTGAATTGGTTAGCGCTTTGGATGGGGAAATGTCTCAGTTAGAGGCTGCCCGGAAAATATATGGCGAGGTACTTCACCTCTTTTAAGTTCAAGTGTGTAAATGATGTGTTAACTGGAGTGTTCTTATTGATTTTGATCATTTCTTGCTTTAGGGGACTGGTGATCAGCGATCTGGTGCAAAAGGTATGCATACGGTTAATTTGTCTTGTAATTGTATATTCTCTTACATAATATACCGTCCATGGGAAATCTTGAATTGAATCTAAGGAGGTAGTTGCAAGGACGGTTAATGATTAGATCTGTGAAGTGAAATGTGATGTTGGTGTGTCATTCAGGGACGCTAGGATATATCTTGTATAGACCATCATTGTGCCTCATTTGATTAGTCTCTTATACTGGATGTGTTTACAATATGTACGCCTCCAAAATCAATGAGTTGCCACTAGAAATCTTAATGCCAAATATGAGAAAAGCATCTACATGGCACCTTAGGAGTTATGAAGTTATGAGTGGCAGAGTGATCTTTAAAATCTGAAGGCACTATATAGTTTTCTATTTCTATCCACCAACGTCCATCATATATATTCAATTATATGTTTGTCGTCTTTTCCCTGCTTTGGCATAATCTGTCTAAACCTTTCTTCGTTCAGATGGCTCAGAAACTACGCCAGCAGCTGACGTGACAAAGTAAAGTCCCAAACTTTCATGCTATTTACTTTTCATAAAATTATGAATGTTTAAAATTATTAACTGTGCAGATTTGCTTTATTTTACATGTCTTATGCACTTTTGAAATGTATAACGCTGAATCTCCCCCCCTTTTTTTCTGTCTTTCCAGGAAAGAGCTACTTAGAGCTATTGATTTACGTCTTGCAGCAGTTAGACAGGACTTGACAACTGCTTGTAATCGTGCATCAGCTGCTGGCTTCAACCCAGTCACTGTCCCCGAACTTAGTCAATTTGCTGATCGATTTGGGGCCAATCGCTTGAAGTAAGTGTTAAGAAATCTTTTACTTTATATCCTCTACAGTATTTACCTTATCGTTCCTGTTGTTCTACCCTTTGTGTTGCCCTTTTTATGCACAAGAAGACAAGACATCTTCAATTACGTCATCTTGTCTAATTTATCTGAGCCTAAACCGAAAAGGTTTCGGTGGTTGGTGCTGTAATTAGAGTTCTAGCTTTTCATAATTGCAGTTGCAGCTATCAAAATTTTACAGTTTTTCTTGTTTGCATAGCAAGCAAGGTCTCTATGTTTATTACCCTCTGCCACTGATCCCTCTTTGGACTTTCGTGATAGCACCTCTATGACATAAGCACATGTTAATATAGTTGCCTGTTTAAATGTTTAGGCTCTTTCCATAATCAGAAACCCATCATGCTCTAATTTAGGTAGGTTTGGTCTGATGGACACTTGCGACCTACTGGTAGGTGGATGAACATGATTATAAAGGACTAGGATGCCTAACTGTACGAAAAGAATTAAATTTCTTTTATCAATAGTTAAACCTTGGTGAATGATCTCACCTTTTAGAATAGGCATTTTTAATTCATAAGATTTCCGAAAATCTTTTGGCTTTCAGTATGTGCACTCTGGTCATGTTTGGTCTGCTATACTTATTGCAGTGAAGCATGCTCCAAGTTTATTGCACTTTGCCAGAGAAGGCCAGAGCTTATGAGCTCTTGGAGGTTCAATCAGGAAGAAGAAGCTATACGTTCGTCATGGGAATCTGATATGTCAATTGATGATCCCAGTGAAGACCCAACCAACAACCTAGCAGCTAATAGAACCCAACAACATAGAGAAAATCGAACTGGTATGGAAGAGAAAAGTCCAACAGGAACCAGTTACTCCCAACAAGAAGCAAAGGTGATGCCACAAAGTAGTCATGATGAAAAGGATGAAGAAAAGGAAAAAAGCCCTGCGCAAAATGAGCCATTAGCAAGTCAGACTAAGCAACTCACGAGACGGCTTAGCGTGCAGGAGAGGATCAACATGTTTGAGAACAGGCAGAAAGAAAACTCCGGAGGGAAAACAGCTGTGGTGAAATCCACTGAGCTGAAAAGGCTACCATCTTCTGATTTATCATCTTCTGTACGAAGATGGAGTGGTGCTAGTGACATGAGCATTGATTTGGGAAATGACAGGAAGGATGGTACTGGTGATAGTCCATTGTGCACTCCCCCGGTATCATCATTATCTTCGAAACATTCTGTCGGCTACAATAAAAAAGAGCAGACCGGACTGAGTCAAGTTGAGTATCCTCACAGTAATGAAAACGAATGTAGTTCCAACAATCTTGGTGACTGGGGAACGGACAAAGCAGAATCCAAGAATTCAAGTTCTACTTTTTTACGGAAAGACAAGGAGGTAGACTTGAAGGTGCCATTGAGCACAGATAGTCAAGTGGGACATCAAGGAAATTCACAGGATGGTTCCAAGTTTCAATACTATGAAAAAAATCCTAAAGAGACTTTGGATTACTCAGGGAGTGCAAATATAGATGAAGAGTCCAATAAGAAAAAGGGCGATTTTGAATCAAATATGCAGGACCAAATACAACATAGAGTTCCTCAGAGTCATTCATTGTCTACACTACAGCAGTTTGGTGGTACTGAATCCAATTTCACTAGTGCTCGGAGCAATGGAGGAACGGCGGAGTCTCCTACGAAAGAACCTTCGTCTAGGCAGCCACCACCAGTTGAGGAACGCCATAGAAAGGCACAAGTCTTTGGAGGTTAGTAAAGTAAAAGTGTATCCTTTATATGCATTTTCTTATATCAAGATATTTCGTTTGTAGTAATTCCATCTCATTTTTTTTGTATCTAACCATCATGCACTGCATTTTCTTTTATGTTTTTGTAATGCTTGAAAATGATCATGATTCATGACCGTAGAACTATTCTTTTTTTTTTTTTATTATTAAACAGTTGAGTCTGAGAAAAGGTAACGACTAATTCTCAATGTGATAACGACCTATATTCTTTTCTAGACTTGTATATATTCTTAATATCCTGACTTTAACAAAAAGCGAAACTTAGCAATCTTCTGATTATTTTCTTGCTTCATCGTCTTTTAGGTTCTGAACAGATGAAAAGGCCACAGGGTAGAAGGCCTGGAATTGATTCTGTCATTAATAGTGTGTCAGATATTTCCGAGAGTGCTACTTTGAGCCAAATGGCACCAACAGAGCAAAATCAAAGGGCTAGAGCGTCTAAGGGAAGTCAAGAGCTGAATGATGAATTGAAAGTGAAAGCAGACGAGCTTGAGAAGCTATTTGCTGAACACATGCTCCGTGTGCCAGGGGATCAATCCAGTTCTGCCCGTAGAGGTAAACCCGTAAAGCCGAGTGAACAGGCTGCGACTTCACAGCCTAGAAGACCTGTAGCAGAGGATCTATCTTCTGCAAATCAGAAGACTCCAACAACGCCAGCTTTAAGCTCAAATGATGAAGACAAGTTCAAAACTCCGCCAACAATGAAGGTGGTTGCTAACAGTGACTATGGAGATTCCACAAGGCAAAAGGTTCCAGAAATCAGCTTTTCAGATAGCTCTAGAGGGAAGTCCTATGAGATATATATGCAGAAGAGAGACGCTAAGCTGAAGGAAGACTGGAGTTCAAGAAGGAGCGAGAAGGAAGCCAAGTTGAAGTTGATGCAAGATATGTTTGAACGCAGTAACGCTGAGATGAAAACCAAATTTTCTCAGTCCACGGCAAGATGTGACTCAGATGCCCGACGTGCAGAGAAGCTTGTATATTTCAATTCTGGGTCGAGTGCTAAACAGGGTCAGGTATACGTCATTTACTTCTTCTGAAAGTTTTACCTGTGGTTTCTAAAACTAGTGGGGGAAATATTATCATTGGTTTCGTAATAAGTTATAATGTAATGACATGACAGCATCCAATTAGCTCATTCCAAAGTGAAGAAGATGAAGATGTTTCTAAGAGCAGCCAGAGTAAGAAGCTGCAACAAAACAAAAACAGTTCCTCGACTGCTCGGACCAGTGGTACATCAGCTTCACGCTCTGCTGCAAAAGTTTCTACACCTAGTGCTGTTAGGCGGAGAGGACAAGACAAAGTTCTTGCACAGTCAGTCCCTAATTTTGCCGAGTTCAAGAAGCAGGAAGGCATGAAACCAGCCTCAGGAGCTGGGAAAAATGGTGTCCGCTCACAGGTGAGAAGCTCTCTCCGACCAAAGGCTGTAACAGAAGAAGAGAAGCCGCGAAGGCCGACAAGTACCAGAAAAGGTGCTGCAGAGTTGGCAGATGTTTCTCAGTTGAAGTCAGAGGATGGTGTTTCTGAACCTTTGAATCATAGTGGGAGAAACTTTAATAATCTTGGTATTGGTATCAGCTCTGATGATGCGCAGCTAAAGGTTTCAGAAGGATCCGATGCATCAGGCGAAATGGAGAAGGAGGAGATGGAAGAAGTGCTTGATGACGCAGAAGAAGTTTTTACGGATGCAGAAAACGAGAAATCAAGACATAGTCAAGACTTTGAAGATTGGAGTAGTACCGGGGTTGCAAATGGAGAATCTATTTCTCAGCTTGACCCTGGTTCAAATGCTGAGTTACCTACTGCTATAGCTTCTAGGCATCATCAAACCATCGGTTCATTTCTAGATTCTCGAGTGAAGCAGCAATATCCAAACGAGGCTACTGAACTTGATGCTTCAGTGGAGTCTCCTGCTTTCTGGAACTTGTCTTCCATTAACCATACAGAGAATGATACTACTCAAATGAGGAAGAAATGGGGAGCTGCTCAGAAACGCGTTGGTGCTAGTAACCCATCTCAAAGCCAACAGGATGTGACTAAAGGGTTGAAAAGGCTATTGAATTTTGGAAGGAAGAACCGTGCGGCTGAGAATTTAGCTGACTGGATCTCTGCAACAACCTCTGAAGGGGACGATGATACTGAAGATGGACGAGATCTTGCAAATCGATCATCAGAAGATTTGAGGAAGTCGAGAATGGGATTTTTACAGACACAGGCCTCTGATGAAAGCTTCAACGAGAGTGAGCTATACAATGAACAAGGTAACAAACGTTTCGATCCTCATGGTATACATAAAGCTTTCCAAAGATCTTCTCACTTTATCCCCAATGGGTCATTTGAACTATAGAAGAATACATTAATGCTAGAGTTAGAAAAATGATTTCTCAATATGTTCATCTTGATGTCAGTCAAGTTGATCTAATATTGTGTTCTAATTACAGCCCAAAACACTAGTGCACCATTGAGCTTTAAACTGAAGGATGATCAGGCGTCAGGAACTTCTGTAAAAGGTAATCTTCCCAATCATTCTTTCTCTACATAGAATCTAAAGGTTGAAGGTATATTGTGAAACACTGTAAAATCTAAACATCTAGCATCGAGTTTTTAATCATTAAGATTGTTAGCTGGGATCTCACACTCTTAGATTGTGAGCTATGTGCTTTGTACTCACTCTTAAAGATCATGTTTACTGCAGCACCAAGGTCATTCTTTTCACTCTCCAATTTTCGTAGCAAAGGGAAATGATTTGAAAGCAAAGGTTCATATGATCCAAGCGAATGAAAGATAAAAGGCTTCTCATCGCAGACAGTGGCACGACACACGAGTGTAGAAGAGTGAAATGATCTGAGGTATTACGTGCTGTGAATGTATCATTGAGAATAGTTGTTTCTCTTGTATTCATAATCATCCCTTGCTCTGATGTGGTTGAGCCTACATTTGTAAATTGTATCAAACCGGAAACATGTCCTTGTCGGTTTGGTATCGATGTGATTTTTGGTAGTACAAACAAAAGGATGTCAATGTTATATACTGTTGAAAGATAATTTCATTCCATGCAATTTAAAAGATTAAGCAAATGGGACACAAACTTAGTGAAAACAGTTAAAATAAAGTTGCTAGCAAGGTGTTTGGAGTATGGTAGCAATTACATATCGTTGTCATGCATACAATGAGAGCAGAAGCAATCAGAAACAGAGATAAAATAAGAGATTTTTTTTATTTGGAAAATTATAAGAGGAAACCGAGATATTACATAAATTCAGAGATTTGTGTTTGGCTATGTTTGGTTTGGGCAACAGCAATCTCAGCTTGAGTTTTAGCCAAAAGAGTTTGGGTTTCCTGAATCTGAGTTTGTAGTAAAGAAATAATCCCAACACATCCATAAACAGGATCTTCTACTCTGCATTTGGCTTCAAAAGACAAAGATTTCACTGCTTCAGCTCTTGTCTGAACAGGAAGTTGCTGTCACAAGATCCACCATCAAAATATTAATGTTATCTTAGATGGGGGACTTAGAACAGATACGGATATACACACAAAGACTTTATATTATACCTGAAGCATTTTGGAAATGTTTCCAGCACCATAGATTCTGTGGATACATGCAAATTTATCAGGATCACTTGGAGGGAAATAAGGTGAGAAAATGCAATCTTTTGGACATCTCCTTCTCAGATATTTGCAAGCAGCACATCTTTTAGGATTCATTACAGATTTCCTCCAGAGATTGTGAAATATACCAATAAGATTATGAAAATCTAAGAACAAGGATTTGGCTTATTTGTATTCTTCTTGTTACCTATTCTTTTCCAACGGCTACTTTCCAGTTTATGAAAATTTGACGACATTTAAACAAGGCAAGCCTATTGAATGTTGATTCTCATTGTTTGTGACTAATTAGTAGGAATATTACCGTTAGGTGTTAGCTTTTGGTGCATTAACTCTCGTCAACCATTCTCTCACAAAACTTTTTTATGTTTTCTTTTACCTGTGAATAATCTTGATTTCGTGATAAACACGTAAAAGTAGGGCAAGGAATGTATGTACTCACCTAGTCACCTTCCCCAAAACATTTCTCCATCTCACTGTAATCGAAGTTTAAGTAACACTCCTCCTTACCTCAGCGCTAACTCCTACTCTGTCAAGGGTTCATGAGTCGTTAACCCCTAAAAAGTAAAGAATAATTGGGACAAGACTTCCTAACATGATCATAAACTGGGACAGGGACAGTTCTTCTACGTCGATGGGACACTTGTTCCTGTAATGGTGTGAGTTAGACCGATCTCTAGACTCCATCCTTTTATATGAAATCCCAAATATTTGATGCAAATGTTGGTTCCCACCGAGACAACACCTCTGCAAGAAGAAGATCACAAACAGAATATGGTGATGTCAGAATCAGATTCTTAAGCCTTTTTTTTACTTCTATAAGAGATCTTTTCTCTAATTCAAGATCAAACGAGGTGAAGAATCTAATAGGACGTCAAGATTTTGTGATCAAGGAAAGAGAAAACAGGTGTGGCAACAAGAAACAGTATATGAAACGTGTTTTAAACACAAGGGAAATGGATCAGACTCGAGTAGTACTGGGAGTAGCAATTATGGGAGAGAGGCTGGATCAAAATTTTGGGTAAAGTAGGCTTAACATGATCTCTGTATCTCTCCTTTTATTCTTTATAATGTTTCCACTATGCTTATCACTTGTAGAAGACGTACTGACTCTTGGCCAGAGAGCGAAACATGTTTCACCCTATTCACAACATCACATGGTATTCTAGCGTCATCTTTGAAATCATCACATTTTCTCCAGAGACAGATGACGCACATGATAGCACATGTTTCTGGTTATATCTAGAAAACTTTAAAGCAGGAACTTCATCAGGTTGCTTAGTAGAATCTAGATCATCCTCTTGGGACTTCACTTCCTGTTGAACTCCCTTGTCCACATTGGACTGGACTGTTTCTAGGAGACCATGATGGATGATGGTGTACATCTTCCCTTACTACCAGACGATTCATCCAAAGACCTATCAACTGCAACCTGTATAGCAAACAACAAGTAAAGCTGCTTCTTATTCATATGGGTCAGTAATTTTATTGGGCCGACTAATTTTATCTATATGGGCCTAGATAGAGGGTCGCATGATCCAGACTCAGAGACCAGGATCTCATTAGAGTAGGTAGGATCTTGAGACAAAAGTTATACTTACACAACAATTAGCGTTGACTTTCTGAGTGTTTATTCGAAGGTTTTCTATTTTTTTCTGCATCTGGGTTTCTTTTGCTTGTTGCTTTAGTTATGTGAGTACTTCTTACTAGTCAGCTCTCTAGATGATATACTATGGTTTTTACTTGTGTCATCAACCTTACTGAAGTCAATATTAGCTATCTTGTTGTTGTTGTTGTTTCGTGTATGGTATTAGCTACTTCAGTAGTTGCACCCAAAAGAAAAAAAAGAACTTACTTCAAACGATCAAGTCCCGTAATGGATACTTTGGTTTTAGGACTAGTCTTTGTCTGGTTAACATCAAAGTAATGATGAGAAATGCCTCTTAGAAAGATTGATAAGTTTCATCTTTGATGTAAGAGCAGAGGTTCTTGTATGATTATTATTGTTGCAGTGTTTGAGTTTCTTTCTTTTAATATGAAATTCTACATAGATATATGGATCAAATCGTAAACGTGAATGAGTTTCAAGAGATGGCCAAACAGGCTCTCCCTAAGATGTACTATGACTTCTACAGCGGAGGAGCAGAGGATCAACACACACTCAAAGAAAATGTTGCAGCTTTCAGTAGAATCATGTAACAATATCAGTAACAGTTTATCATTTTAGGTTTAGTGGGTGAAAAAGTATATATAACCTAGTGACTCCCTCTTTATCTGTGTGTTACGGCTGTGCTTTGATGTTCAGGTTTAGGCCTCGGGTTCTGGTTGATGTAAGCAATATAGATATGTCTACCAGCATCTTGGGTTACCCTATCTCAGCTCCTATCATGATTGCTCCAACAGCATATCATATGTTGGCGCATCTAGACGGTCTCTGGTTACTCTTATGTTTCATAACATGTACCAACGGTATATGCAGTTGTTGGGTTTGAAAATTGATTTTTATTTGTTGTTTATGTTAGGAGAAACCGCCACTGCGAAAGCTGCAGCTGCGTGTAACACTATCATGGTACTAATGTGTTTAAAAAAGAACCACATGTTTTTACATTCTGTTCAAGTTTTAAGGTGATGAACATATGGTTGTTTTGGTTGTGTGAATTTTCAGATAGTTTCATGCATGTCTTCATGCACCCTTGAGGAGGTTGCTTCAAGTTGTAACGCGGTTCGGTTTCTTCAAATATATGTATGTACACTCAATAACCTTAAAATGTACTTCCTTAGTGTAGGGTTTAGGCCTCACTTTTCTTAGTTGGCTCTGATATATTCTGTAGGTGTTCGAGAGACGCGAGGTAACTTCTCAGGTGGTGAAAAGAGCTGAGAAAGCTGGATACAGGGCCATAGTTTTGACTGTTGATGTTCCTAAACTTGGTAGAAGGGAAGCTGATATAAAGAACAAGTAACACTCTCACATGAATAAGCTTCTTTACTTGGTACTTAAGTCTATCCAATAGGTATTTTCAACTTGTTTCTGTAGAATGATACCCCCGAAGCTGAGTAATTTCGAAGGTTTAGTTTCAACCCAAGTCAAACCTGTGAGTAGTAGTAATATCTTGAACTTAAGGTTCATGTAATTTGAAGCATTACCTGTTGTTGATGTGATAACTTTCTCTCAGAGTGCAGGTTCAGGGGTTGAAGCATTTGCTTCTCGTGCTCTTGATGCTTCTTTAAACTGGAAGGTAAACAAACTTGTGAATTGATTTTTCTGTTTTGTGTCGCATGACAATGTGAGTGTGCATTCTTCATAATGTTTTGCACTGCGAAAATGGTTAGGACATCGAGTGGTTAAGATCTATTACAAAGTTGCCAATACTAATTAAAGGGATACTCACACGTGAAGACGGTAAGATTCATGTCACATACTCCATTATATAGCATGTGGCATGACCTTTTTAAAATGATATTTGCAGCTCTTAAGGCATTTGAAGCTGGTGTAGATGGAATAGTTGTATCCAACCATGGGGGTCGCCAGCTTGACTATTCTCCAGCTACAATAACTGTTTTAGAAGAGGTAAACCAATCAACTTAAGCTTGCTTATGAACATACTTTTTCTTAGTAACGAACCAACTTTTTTTTTTTCTTGAAACTGCAGGTTGTGCATGTTGTTAAAGGTAGGATTCCAGTCTTGCTAGATGGAGGGGTGAGACGAGGAACAGATGTTTTCAAAGCGTTGGCACTAGGAGCTCAAGCTGTTCTTGTAAGCTTTTGAGTGTTGTGGTTTGGGATTGCTATATGTCACTCACTATATGGTTGGATGATGCAGATTGGGAGGCCTGTAGTCTATGGGCTTGCAGCTAAGGGTGAAGATGGAGTGAAAAAAGTGATTGAGATGTTGAAGAATGAGTTTGAGTTAACCATGTCACTTTCTGGTTGTCCCACCATTGGTGACATTACCAGAAACCATGTTAGGACTGAGGATGAGAGACTTGAATCTAGGCTCTGATCCTAATCGGCAGATCTGGTCACAGAAACTTGAATCAGTTGAACTGTCAATGAATATATACTCATCTGATCATTTTTTTCTGTAAAACATGTTTGATAAAATTGTTATCTGTGAGATACGTTTTTTCTTAATGGGTAAAAAATGTTACGTTGTTATGTTACTCTCCATACAAGTAGAGTCTTAGTGCATAAAAGGGTAGATAGATAGACAAGAGCGGCAGATCCTAATCTCTAGTAGTAGTGCCTATTCAATGCACACATACAAAAAGCTCTGTTTCAGTATACAAAACCTGCACACAGTCTATACTCGAATCTTGATCATTCTGTCCTTCTGTACTCAACATACGTTTTGAAACAATGATGAAGTTATGTTCGTACCGGGACCACTATACCACGGAAACTAGAGTAAAGCAAAGTTTCTTAAAACGCAGCGTTTTCAATTATAAGTGCAATTAAATTATTCTTTTTTTTTAATGATAAATAAATAAATAAAAACTCAAAAACGTCATCAGCCTAGCGGATTCGGGTTTAAACATCCACCTCAGAGATGGCGGCGATTATCCGGTGCTGCTCCTCCTTCTCCCATTCTTCCGGCGTCCGTCCTCCGCCGCACGAAAATAATTCTCGAGGTTCAGGTTAGTTCATTGTTTCACCCAATTCAGATTCTCCTGTTGCTTTGTGAGTGATCCTCTTTTGCTAACGAAGGCATCACTTATAATCCAGAAATTTTTGTTCAAGTGTTGATTGGCATGTTTTTCACTTCAGAAATGATAATTTGAGAGCTCTTTAAGTTGTGCAGAATTTATTAGCAAATGAAATTAGGACTAGGGATGTAATATTTTCTGTTGTAAATCAGACATGGTTGGATAATGTTGTTTTATCTAAATAATAATAATATCTTCTAAACATATGATCAGTTTGAAAAAAAAAAAAAAAAATTGGCACTGTTGTGTAGGAAGCATGTTTCTGATCCAGCGTGATTTGAATTGTTGTTCTTCTCGGTTGTATTCTTATGAGGAACTTTGATTTCGTTTCACGGATTGTGTTTGCACTCCTAAAAGTAGTGCAAGCTCGTGTCTTCTTATTATACTCTTGGTCCTTTCTAAGTCGTTTTGTGTCGCCCGTTTCATCTTTCAGCGACTGGAAAGTTAGCTACATCTGTAGACTACTCCTTAGTCAGAACACCTGGAGCACATCATCTTATCTCCAAGATTAAACCTTTGTCTACCAATTCCAATGAGCGTGAAAGCAAGGGAATCTTACAAACACCATTTAGCAGCGTAGAAACTTTTGACAAGTTATCATCTTTTGAGGTATTTTTGCCATATACATCTAATTAACCTCTGGGTTTTGTCTTCTTTGAATACCAATACATTGCTTGACTCAGTTTTTTTTTTTATGTTGTCAAGTTTTTCCTTTGTGATTGTAAGTAAGCATTTAGACATAGATGTGGCAGGGAATTGGGAGGCACAAGTTACCTATGATGGCAGTGTTGTTGACAAACTCCCTTCTCATGGGTACACCTCTTGAAGCTTTGGCTGCTGAGATATGTGAGCCTGAGAGTTCCATCTTCAACATGCCGGTTTTGTTGCTTGTAGCACTTGTTGGAGCCACTGTTGGAGGTAGTATATGTGATCCTTCTTTCATCAGTATATGCTTCTATGAATTGGATTTTTGACAACTCTTCTTATTCTGTTGCACTCTCCAGGGTTGCTTGCTCGGCAGAGGAAAGGGGAGTTACAGAGGCTGAACGAACAACTACGACAGATCAACACAGCTCTTAGGAGACAAGCCAAAATCGAATCTTACGCACCAGGGTTAAGTTATGCACCAGTAGGAGCTAGAATCCCAGCAGAGAGTGAGATCATTGTGGATCCAAAGAAACAAGAGTTGATTTCAAAGCTGAAAACAGGGAAGACCTTTCTGAGGAATCAAGAACTAGAGAAAGCTTTTTCAGAGTTCAAGATAGCGTTGGAACTTGCTCAGAGTCTCGGAGACCCTATTGAAGAGAAGAAAGCTGCGAGAGGGTTAGGCGCTTCACTGCAACGTCAAGGGAAGTATAGAGAAGCTATACAGTATCACAACATGGTTTTAGCCATCTCGAATAGGGAAGGAGAAGATTCTGGAAGCACTGAAGCGTATGGAGCTATTGCAGATTGTTACACTGAGCTGGGAGATCTTGAGAAAGCTGGGAGTTACTATGACACCTACATTGCTCGGTTAGAAACAGACTGATTCATCTGCATTGTCTTTTTTTTGTGTGTTTGTTGTGTTCATGTCAAGTCACATAAAATGAAGATTTATACCCTTTTTGAATGTAATTTTATTTGTCTTACAATCCATAGCAAAGTATACAATCCATAGCTGGGTTAGGTTTGTTGTGTTCATGTTAAATCACATAAAATGTGGGACACGTGCGTGTAAGAATAAATGGGTAAGTCCGGTCTGACTGATTATTAATGACCGTTTTACCCTAACTCTGTAAAACCATAAACTAAAAGAAAAGAGAACCAGTGGCGTCGATTTTACTTGGGTGAATTTTCCACAACGATTTTCTCATCCAAATTCGATCGGATCGGATCAGGGTTTCGATTTTGAGTAGAAAGTCTAAACCTTTTTTTTTTTATCGCTATTCATTAAGTAGTTGAATCAAGAACCCTAACCTAGCTTTTTCCTCTTTTTGAGTTATACTCCTATCTCATCAAACGTTATCGGTTGTGTTTTTTTCATAAAGAACGAAACTTTACTTCAGTTTCGAGCGGATTAGAGTCAGTGACGATGTCTTGGGCTGGTCCTGAAGATATATACCTTTCAACTTCACTCGCTAGTTATCTCGATAGTAATGTGTCTTTCTCTCTTTCTCCCTGATTAACTGTTTCGTTCAACAGTATGTGCAATGTACATATATTTTGAATGTATTCGAGGGCTTAATGTTGCAAACAATTCAGTGTCCTTTGTGTTTTATTTTGAGTAGTTGTTAGTATATTTCTGCGGGCGTATTCAGTTTTTTTTTTTTTTTTAAAAAAAATTTAGGTGTTTTATTATTGCTAAGAAAGACTCACTCATTGGTTATGAGATTTAATCTTGAAAGCTTTAGTAGTTTATTTATTTTGGTCAATTCAAACTGTTCATTGATTATTGTTGTTAAGCTCGGTGTCATATATGATGTCACTGCCGTTAAGTTCTTGATTCAACGTTTGAAGTATATAATATAAACATGTTTGTGAGCTTAAGTCGAGTTCTTTGAGGTTTATAGGTTCATAATCTTTACTTTAGGAATATGGGTTTATGTACAATTTCATTTGCTTTTTATGTATGAATCATTTTGTATTAGTTACTGATGGATGTTGATTCTGTTCTTAATGATACAGGAAAGATACTTGTGCTCCTTAGAGATGGTAGAAAGCTAATGGGAACACTCCGTTCATTTGATCAATTTGGTATTCACTTTTCTGTTTCATTCTTCTATGTTTATGATAAGTGTTAGTAATGGGAGAGAGATTAAAAGCATGTTTTATTCGCTGTCAATACACAGCCAATGCGGTTTTAGAAGGTGCGTGCGAGAGGGTGATTGTTGATGAGAAATATTGTGACATTCCTTTAGGCCTCTATGTAATCCGTGGAGAGAATGTTGTTCTCATTGGTGAGATGGTAAGACATCTCCTTTTTTTTTTTTTTTTTTTTGTGTTGTTGTTTAGTCTCACTTTGTGTTTTTCAGTTCATTGATTTGGTCTTAAAACCATGTGTTAGGACACTGAGAGAGAGGAGCTTCCTCCACATATGATTCGCGTCTCAGAGACAGAGATTAAGAGGGTAAGGCATCGGACCCTAACTACAGATTAAAAAGCAAACTTGAATAATTTGTGATGCTTTTGCTGATGATTTGGTTATGGGGACTATATGTGTGTGTTGTGGTTTAGGCGCAAAAAGTAGAAAGTGAAGCGAGTGAGCTGAGAGGAACAATGAGGAAGAGAATGGAGTTTCTTGACTTTGACTAAGTCCCGGTTATGTCCTCATTCACTATTGGCTTGATGCTCTGCTTTGGCTCGCAAGTTTTATGAGGAGCCTTTTTGGTGTGTGGTGTAGGGGAGTAATGTAGGTTTCATTTTGATTCTGGAAGTATATGACAAAAGATAATATGATTTTTACTTGTTTTACCTTACAAATTGGAAGTTATTTTACAAGTCTTAGAGTTGGGTTGGCATCACCTAAGACTTTTCTTTAACTTTTAGTCACCCCCCCCCCCTCCCCAAAACTTTTAAAGTCGATCCAAAGATCCCAAGCTTTCATTTCTTTCTTAAGTTGCGAAGAACCACTGATCTTTTAGGTTTAAGCAACAAAATAGCGTTGAGATGTTCTCACCTATCACCCAAAAATGTTTCCTTTTTCCTCTCAAAGCAAGAGTACTAGTAGTCAAACAGGTAAACATGGAGATAAAAGAAACGTTATCAATCATGTAAAGTTGAGATGACGATAGGAGACATGATGATAGCATGTCTCCTTCCTCAAAACATGGTTTCTTTCGTTTTATCTCTTTCACTCTCTGCGAATGGGTATGGCTAAAAACCTTTACCTCCCACCACTAATTAATTCACTACGAATACTACCAATTTATCTGACACTAATCTAATAGTATTTTTAACATTCCTTTAAAGAAAATTCATCAATTTCTGTAACACATACACAGTTAAGAAAAATGAGAATGACCTAAACTCTAAAATATGTATATCTTCAGATTCAAGAGAGTACTACAAGTAGATGGTTATGTTCTTTTCTTTTGTTTTCTATAACACGAGATATTAACATCACAATGGGGGAATCTAAAAAGGAGAAATTGGTTCCAGTAATTTGGCTAAGAGAATAGAAAAAAGGAAAGAGCTTAAACCAAATCAGAGGGTTGGTGGGTTCGTTCAAAGCCTTCACAGAAAACCAACATCATCACCATCTGGTTATTACTCTCATCCTTGATTATGTGGATTTCCCTGTAAAACACACATAGAGAGAGAGAGAGATCTCAGTTTCCAAAAAGCAAAAAACCAAAAAAAAAAGATGAAGAAGATGGGAAATAGCAATAACCGGTTGGTAAGGAGGAGGCAGCGACATGTAAATCATCTGCTCCTGCTGCTGCTTAAACTAAAACATCACATCAATTTCATCACGATTACACTTCTTTTTTTTTAAATTATGATGATATCTACTTATTTTGGTCTTGCGAATATTCATGACTATAATACGTAGGATTTTTCTATGTTGTTAGTGTCATCATACCCAGGGTGGTGCATTTGGGGGATAATAGGTTTGAGGATAATCGTGGCCAGGATAACGAAGAAGCTGCGGCTGTACAGGATATAGCGGTTGAATCTGCATCACATGGCCAGAGTTTTAGAGACTTTTTCTTCGTTTGTTTAAGTAAAAGTTAGTACAATGAACTTACTCCGTAACTAGCAGGCATTCTAGGCATGAGCTGAACCGGTGCACGTGGAGCAGGGTAGTTGAATGAGGCATTTGCAATTGGAGACTGAGGCCGCACAGGAGCTGGTGGTTGCGATGGTTTGAATTCCTGATCAGACCCAATGACTCTTGATTAGTAAACAATACAAAGAACTAAAACACACAGTTCAACCAACAACTAAAAGTAGAAGAAAATAAACCTTTGCATTCGGGTTAAGAGTGGACTTTTCTGATGTGGACAACGAACTAACTGACGAGCTTGGTGATAGTCCAGGACGAGTTGACATCGACGGAGATGGGCCGCTCTCTGAACTTCTTCTAGAATCCGACTGACCAAAGGAGCTTTTAGATTTTGTTTCACCAGAAACTTGACTGACTTGACTTTCTTTCTCAGCAACAGTCTTCGACCCCGAGGTTCCAACACCTTGTACATCTATAAACACATAATATTTTCTTAAGATATCACCACTGCTTGTGTACAAAAGCAACCTTTTTCGAGATTCCATTTGGCGGCTTTAAAAGAGGTCATCATCAGTGAAACATTACTGACCCCCACTAGATATTAAGTTGAGATCAACGTCAAAACAAATATTAGTGTCAAGCCGAGAGAAAAAATGTGAGTCATCCTTACAAAATTGGAAAAGTAATTATACGTCAGAACAGGAAAACAAGTTCAAATTTATGTGGGGATTCAAACGGATAAACAAAGAGTAAGAAAGAAGTAGCATATACCTCCATGACCAGAAACTGATGCCTCAGGTGACTGTAAATACAAAAGAAAGCCAAAGAAACAATGTTTGAAATATTAGAACAACGCCAAACGCAATCGTTGATTAAACATGCATAATCATACTCTGTTACTGTGGGCAACCTCTGGATTATTGTTGTTTCTTCGCTCACCCAACTGGCTCTCACTGTTACGTGAAGAGAAACTCCCAATGTAACAGAAGTCTTTTTGATGATGAAAAAGTCCATAGCCTAATGGGAAAATAATGACCTGATACTACTGCCTTGGGCAAGAAAATCTTTGGACTTCTGTTCAGAGGGAATATGCCCAGCGTTATCAGATAGCGAGCAGCTCTGATCTACATTTGTTTCATTCTGAACGAACTGCCTCTCCCCCTGATTGAAAATGAATGGTAAATATCAACAACCGATCTGCTAGTAAGCTACTTTCAAAAAAGAAGTCAACCATACCTCATAACCCTTGCCACCAGAAGAAGTTGGCTTCTGGCCACTCGAAGAAGCTGGATTCTGGACATTAGAAGTAGATGAGCCACTGGAAGTCTGATCGTTGCAAGTGTCCAGCAATTTTTCATCCTCATCAAATCCATCAACTGGACGGACAGCTGAGTATTTAGCTTCCTCGTCAGTATCAACTTTCTCATTAACCTGAAGGCCTCTTTCCTGCAAGCGTGAACAATAAGAGATATGGAGTTATATAACAACAACGGAAACGTAGGGATCAAGTTGTGCAAATAGAACCCCCAAAAATCACCTCTGCTACATGAAGATCTCCGGTATTTTCATCCTCAATCTCTTTGGCAACGCTCATGGCTTTCTCTTCCAGCTCTCTAGTCCGAGAACCTCTGTCAAGTGTTGTGGTATACATTTCCTCATTGAAAGTGCTCGTTACTCCAAACAGCTCCTCATTCACCTTAAATTGATCCCATCCCCTACAAACAGGAACGGACCAGCTGAGCATACTACCAGTAAATAGCCATTCTATGAGGGATATGGAAACTGCGGTCTTCCAATCTCATGAACATTCACCAAGGGCTCTTCCTCACAATATACTATATCCTTTAGATATATAAAAAAATATATAGCTCAACAGAGAGATAGAAAGATAATAGCTTTCCAGAAGATAGATCACAATCAGCCTAAAGTTCAAGTACAAGAATAATCTATACATTCCATTCTCACCATTGTCTCGTCTGAATTGTTTAGATAAGAAACCGTGTTCTAAAGAATCTAGCTAATAAATCTGTACATGAAGCATCCAATAAATAATTTTGCATGAATTTCAAATATGTGTACCTCTTCAAAGACTCATCAAACACATCATCCAGACCCTCAGGAGCCTCTTCATCAGGCACCCAGGGTTTTAACTCTCTTCCCTGACCAACATGACAAGACTTTGATATAGAAGAATCCGTCAAAAGCTCCACCGACTTCTCACTCTGAACGGCATTTAACATTCCGTCACTGGATACAGAGAGATCCTAACACCAACATCCATAATAAAAGGAATGAAAAAATATCAAATTTTGAATGTAATGTCCCTGCCATGTAACGCATTGACATAAACTTAAACAGAAAAAAAGTTCGCATGTTACTAATAAAAGCAAGCACACCTTAGCGACAACTTGCACGAGTTCATCTGCAGGAATATAAACCAACTTCTTGGTAGTTGGCTTTCTGACAACCTCGGAACCGGATTCTTGCCCTTCTAACGTACCGTCTTTAATCAAAGATGCCCTCTTTAGAATGATTCCTGGATATTTAGAAATGGCAATACCCTCGTAAAGTACCGTACTTTCTACGCATCACATATCTAAGACAAAAAAAGAAAAGAAACTATGATTCAGAGCCTCACCAAAATCCTTGTCCACATCAGCAGCATGAAAGATACCACTATAAACTGATCCATCTTTTAGATGCGCTTCGACGAGATGCCCAATCATACATGTTGTGAGGTACACTAAACCATCACGCGATTGCTTCTTCAACCTTTCAGCTTCCTCATCCATTGCAACCTCAAAACTGTTGAAACTAACAACAAAAGGTCATTTACGGAAAAAAGATTTTCTCAAACTTTTGATCGTTTGATCTTTGTCATCTAACCGCTATTTGCTAAGTTTCACAGACGATCACTATCAAGATGCTTAGACGCAAAGAAAGATAGGCATTGACACAATAACCAGCAATTAAACCCTAAATCGGCCACCTGAATCACTAAAATTCCCAGTATCGAACAACGGAGCGGAGATAAGAGCCTAAGGAGACTATTCATTACCTCAGAAAACCTAGCCACGATTCAGAAACCAACTCGCCGGCGCAAGAGAGACGAGCTCGAATGCTTCCAACGCAGCGTTTCGTAAATGAGCTTAAGGTTCGCGCGGAGAGAGTGACGGTTGACGATTCACCATGAATCTTGGAGCAAAAGATATTCGGAGAGAATGATCAGAGCTGAGTAACGAACGTAACGTCTTTGCAGAGTGATGAAAAGAAAGCTAATTAATATGGTTTCTGCTTCTTGTGACAGTTGAGATTTGAGCGGGCTCTTAACTATGTTTTGGGCCCATAAACGATGGGCTTGCTCTTTTTTTTTGTCAATTAGTTATCTGGTTTATGTTTTTCTAGCATAGTTTGATTACCTAACATGTCTGGTTGTTAATATACATTTTAATCGGGTATCGTCAGAGTGCTTGGTTACTGAAGTTTATTTCTGACTGTTGGATGTTCGGTGTGGAAAGTGACAATGGCATCGAGTTTCACTGCTACATCTTCCCTTGGCTCCTTGGTTGTTTCCAGTGCGCTCAAGTTTTCTTCAAGCTCATGCCTAAGAATATCCCGTCCTGCGATTGTATGTGCAGTCAAGAAGTTTCATTTCAACAAGGATGGGTCTACCATATAGAGATTTCAAGTGAGAATGTGTATTAGTGAATCTTCTTTATCTGAGGCAATGATTAAGACTCTTTTATTTTATTTTTATTAGACAAGTTCGCCAACGTTGTTGATGTTACACTTGGACCAAAAAATGTTATTCTTGAAAGCAAGCATGGATCACCAAATTTTTTTAATGATGGTGTCATTGTTGCTAGGGAGGTGTGAAGCTACTGTCTGTTTGTTCTTATGTTTATTTTGGTTTTAAAATAGGTTTTCCAAATAAAGTTTTCTTCTATTTAGATGACTCGGTTGAGAATAATGGCGCAAAGCTTGTTAGGCAAGCAGCTGCAAAAGACTAATGACTAGGTTGGTGATGGTACAACAACATCGTTGTTCTTGCACATGGTTTTATTGATGAGACTGTCAAGGTTTGTACATTCTTCTTTTGGATTTTCTCTTATATAAACTCAAAAATAACTTCATATTAATCTTAACATTTGTATTTTCTTAGGTGGTGGTTGCATGTGCAAACCCATGTATTAATCACTAAATGCATTTCAGTCTGAGAAGTTCAAGACGTCTCCATCATAGGAAGAAGGAGGATGAATTGAGCAGTAAGGAATGAGCTGAGGTGGCCAAGACCGTTAGTGAATTGTATCAAGAAGAGTAAGGTAAGGCTTCAGAGTCAAACTAATGATCTGCCCTTGATGAAGCAAGAGTGTAGGTGAGCTAAGAGAGTTATGCTTTAATTGTAGATTCTCGTTACACACTATCAATAAAAAAGATCGTTTACACAATTGAGGATAACTTTCATCAAGTTAAAACATAAGTGACGAAAATCCTCTGAGAATGACGATGTTTACTAGGGAAATTGAAATTGATGTTGCTTCGTTGACGAAATGTAAGCACTCTTTCTCTCTCTCTCTCTCTCTCTCTCTCTCTCTCTCTCTCTCTCTCTCTCTCTCTTTTTCTAGTAAGTTTGTTTAGTATATGTTTGATGCTTCTTCGCTGGCGATTGAATCGTAGTTTGTTTAGTGTTAGGAAAATTGAACATCATAGGTTGATTGGGGTTCCGTTTCCGATGATCCATAGATGAAGTTTTGTATTGAACTCTATGTAACATCCAAATCGATTCATGTTTCGATGTTGTTATTGTGATTGTTTTCCGATAATTGTTTTCGATTAAAATCTGAAGATGACGTTGTTTGAAGTTGTTTTGTGTTGAACTCTTTGTCGCATCCGACTTGATTTGATGATTTGATGTTGCTTCTCTCTATTGTGTTTATCCTTTATTAATGTTTGTGTGGAACTGTCTAACGTATCCAACTTGATTTAATGTTTCGATGTCTAGAATCTAAACAAGACATATATCAAAACAGCACACATACGTTAAATCCTAGAGATGGTTTCAAAATCATCAATCACTATAACAAGATCTATTTATCACGAGCAAACATATTTATTGATATGGAATCAAAATCGAGTAAATCATGTGCAAATTGAAATAAAAAATTCATATATGATCGTTTTCGTCTTGTGTTTTTGATTGAAAGCAGCTATTCATGGCATGGATATCGACATTTACTTTATGGTCTGCTTCATTCGTATTAGAATGAGAAAATTTGTTAAGATCAAAGTTAATAATAATGCGTAATGAAGAAGGAGACACTGTTTTACGAAACTCTTCCTCTAACGCTTTGGTTACTTTATTACATATATTTGGCCAATTTTTTTTCATGAGAGAAAGATAGCGATCAACCTTATTTCTCATCATTATAACTCTGGAACAAAAATTCTAGTTCTAAGAATAAAGAAAGCAGAGAATGAAATATGTGACAGAAAAAGCAAATGAATCAAAGTTAGAAAATTGTTTTGAATCATAATTTTTTTAGTGTTAGGAAAATTGAACATCATAGGTTGATTAGTGTTTCGTTACCGATGATCCACGGATGATGCTGTTTTGTGTTGAACTCTATGTAGCATCCAAATCGATTCGATGTTTCGATGTTGCTATTGTGTTTGTTTTACGGATAATTGTTTCAGATTAAAATATGATGATGACGTTGTTTGAAGTTGTTTTATGTTGAAATCTCTACGCATCCAACTTGATTTAATGTTTCGATGTTCTTTCTCTCTATTGTGTTTATCTTTCATTGTTGTTTGTGTTCACTCTCTGTCGTATTCAACTTGCACTACAAGAAAACAAAGCATTTACTAGGAAATTTTACTAGGAAAATTCTTCCTCGTAAAGTTACTAAGCGTTTACTAGGATCTTACGAGGAAAGCAAATTTCCTCGTAAGTTCCTCGAAAACTTACGAGGAAATACTTTCCTCGTAAGACCTTAGTAAATTTACGAGGAGCTTACGAGGAAAAAGTACTTTTCCTCGTAATGCCATAGTAAACACTTTCCTCGTAAAGGCGTAGTAAAATATTACTACGAAATTAGGAGGAAATAGTTTCTTACTACGAAATTAGGAGGAAATAGATAGGAAATATCGAATTTAAATAAAACACATGTTTTGTACCTACTTTTCCTAGCAATTTCCTAGTAAATGCTCATATTCGAAAATTTCTATAAATACCACCTTATGTGATTCATTTGAAACACACCAAAAAAAAATCAGATATAAACTTGATCAAACACAAAAAAATGTCCGGTCCGGGAAATATTTTCGAGTTGCGGCAGTGGATGTATTCACACAGAGATAATAACGTGAGGGTGACGAACGAATTTCTTGAAGGGTTGGAGACGTTCATGCATCAAGCAGATTCTACACCACTCACGCAGGAAAGTGGTAAGATGTTCTGTCCTTGTCGGAAATGCTGCAATAGCAAATTAGGCCCTCGTGAAAATGTTTGGAAGCATTTAATAAATAGAGGTTTCATGCCATATTATTATATTTGGTATCAACATNTACAGTGGTTGTAGAGAAGGTCTATCTAAATTGTCGTTGGCTGCTAGAATGATGAGTATTAAAACCGATCACAATCTACCTGAAAATTGTATGGATGCATGGGCAGACTTGTTTAAAGAGTATTTGCCAGAAGACAATGTGTCTGCTGAATCTTATTATCAGATTCAGAAATTGGTATATAGTCTTGGGTTGTCCTCGGAGATGATAGACGTTTGCATCGACAACTGCATGATTTACTGGGGAGATGATGAGAAGTTAGAAGAATGTCGATTTTGTAAGAAGCCACGATTCAAACCGCAAGGTCGAGGGCGCAATAGGGTACCGTACCAAAGGATGTGGTACCTACCAATCACAGACAGATTGAAAAGGTTGTACCAATCTGAGAAGACTGCTGGATGGATGAGATGGCACGCCGAGCATACTCAGAAGGATGGAGAGATGACTCATCCATCAGATGCAAGAGCCTGGAAACATTTTAACAATGTACATCCACATTTCGCTAGCAATAGCCGGAATGTGTATCTTGGATTATGCACTGATGGTTTTAGTCCATTTGGAATGTCTGGGAGACAATATTCATTGTGGCCGGTCTTTCT